TTAATCATACGAGACGCTATATTGTTGTTGAGGCACCAAAATTAAGGCAAACACAATCAAAGCAATCGCGTAGTAGGAAAAAAATGTTCATTATTTGCATACAATTACATATGTGGGCAGGTCTGATAGATCTATCTAGCTAGTAATATTTGACGGAATATCAAAATCGAGGAATATGTATATAACATTAATTCGTCAGTATATTTACGGTTGTTTAATCCTTGTTTTAGCTAAAATACTATAAAACCAAGGACTAAAAACTAGCCAATCTTGAAGAAAATTTATTCATCAACGGCCTAAAATTATGTGGGCAGAACTAAGGGTTTTAGTTAGCCAGAATTATTCAACGGAATATACAAATTAAACAATATGAACGACTATCCTCTTTCGTTTTTTTTTTGTTACCTATTTCGCTAAAACCTTTTTCTGTTTGACCTATTTCGCTAAAACCTTTTTTCAGAGAAAATTGAAATTAGAAAATTGATTCACTAATCGGATAAAATTATGTGGGCAGGACTGAGGGTTCTATTAAGTTAGTTATATTGCACGGAATATCAAAAAAGGGGAATATGTATATTAGAGCTTGAGGTCGTCAGTATATTTATGGTATATTTTTAAAATTAAACCGTATATTTTGGTATATGTCTGAGGGTCGATAAAACTGATTTCAACTGCATATTCCACGTACTTGAACGAATTTTTGCGGCTAATTATTGTGAAATATCTGCATGTCAACTGCCAAGGCCCAGGAATATGACTGCACTGCCAAGTGTACATGTCGCCAACATGGAAACAGCATTACAGCCGCACTCACAAAGCGCGGAATCGACAATCAAAATCTGGGAGCGTTCATCTTCAAGACCTGCGGAAATTTCGCCAACATCATAGACGACCTGGTAAGGGGAGCCCTAAGTGATCGCCAATGTGTGCACTGACACTATTAAATTTCCCCAGGGCCGTTCAGCTGTGCACATGTCAGCTTCGGTGGCGCGATATAAGATTCTGGAGTGGCTTTTGAACCACGGAGCGTACATTAACGGACTCGATTACGAGTCTGGCAGTAGTCCCTTGCACAGGGCCTTGTACTATGGCTCCATAGACTGTGCTGTGCTTCTGCTGCGCTATGGGGCAAGTCTGGAACTGCTAGACGAAGACACACGGTGCCCGCTGCAAGCCATCTGCCGCAAGTGCGACGAAGATTTCACCACAGAGTCGCAGTGAGTCCATTCAGAGCTACATACAAGCAGTCCTAAACTAACCAATTCTGTCGCCGTGCAGGAACGATGTTCTCGTCTGGGGCTCCAATAAGAACTATAACCTCGGCATTGGCAACGAGCAGAACACCAATGCTCCTCAGGCAGTGGATTTCTTTCGTAAGTCCAACATCTGGATAGAGCAAGTAGCATTGGGAGCCTATCACAGTCTCTTTTGCGACAAGAAGGGTCATCTCTATGCCGTCGGCCATGGCAAGGGTGGACGTCTGGGCATTGGTGTGGAGAACAGCTTGCCGGCGCCGAAGCGTGTGAAGGTCTCTTCGAAGCTGAACGACGATTCCATCATGTGCATAAGTGTCTCCCGACAACACTCTCTGCTGCTCACGCGTCGTTCGCTGGTGTTTGCCTGCGGCATCAACACCGACCATCAGCTGGGAGTGCGTGATGCGCCCGAGAATCTGACGCAGTTCAGGGAGGTTGTCGCATTGCGTGACAAGGGGGCCAGCGACCTGCTGCGTGTGATCGCCTGCGACCAGCACTCTATTGCCTACAGCACCAAGTGTGTATACGTCTGGGGTGCCAATCAGGGTCAATTTGGTATAAGTCGCACCACAGACACTATTATGGCGCCCACATTGGTCAGTCTTTATATATATTTAGACGAGTATAGAACGTAAATATACAAAACCTTGGTAATATTTCAGATAAAACTACCTGCGCGCACTTCAATCCGCTTTGTGGAAGCCAACAATGCAGCCACGGTAATTTACACAGAGGAGAAGATGATTACGTTATTTTATGGTGACAAGACTAGATACATTAAGACTCCTAAGTAAGTTTTACCTATTATTTATTCCCATATTATTATTAATGTACATGTTCTTTTCTTCAGCTACGAAGATCTCAAAAGCATTGCGGTGATAGGCGGTCATTTAAAGAGCTCCACGAAAGGATCTGCAGCAGCCCTAAAGCTATTGATGCTCACTGAGACGAATGTGGTGTTCCTGTGGTACGAGAATACACAGCAATTTTACAGGTGAGTTATTCCGGATCCCTAATAACGTTTAACCACACAACAATTATCCTTGCAGGTGTAATTTTTCGCCAATACGCCTGCCTGAGATTAAAAAGATCCTGTACAAGTGCAATCAAGTCCTAATACTGTCTTTGGACGGCTGCGTCTATCGTGGCAAGTGCAATCAGATAGCCCTGCCAGCTGGCATGCTGGAAGAGAAATCCAAACCCAATATGGATATATGGCACAACAACGATCAGAATCGCACGGAGATTTCGAGAGATCATGTGATCCGCATCGAGCTGCAGCGTGTTCCCAATATTGATCGTGCTACCGATATCTTTTGCGACGAGAGCTTCTCCTCGTTCGCCGTGCTGCAAGAGTCGCATATGAAGTACTTCCGCAAGCCCCCACTGCCACGCAGGGAGCACAATTTCAAGAAGCTCTACCATGACACCTGCGAATCGGATGCCGTGCACGATGTCGTCTTCCATGTGGATGGGGAGCGCTTTGCGGCCCACAAGTTTATCCTGTATAGTCGCGCACCAGGCCTCAGGGAGCTCACTCGCATCTACTTGGACAAGGATGTCTATCTAAATTTTGAAAATCTCACGGGGAAGATGTTTGAGCTGATCCTAAAGTATATCTACACCAGTTACTGGCCAACAGAGGATGGTAGTCGAAATTTATTCTGCTTGGGAAAGAGTTTTTAAATGCTGTGTTCCTTCTTTTAGATATCGACTGCATCCAGGAAAGTCTTGGACCCGCCAACCCTCGGGAGCGAAGTCAAGCCTGCGAAATGTTTATCCCTCACTTGGAGATGTTTCAATTGGTCGATCTAGCCAGATACTTGCAGAGCTACGTACGAGATAATCAATTTCCCATACCTAGTACCCGGCAGCGTTTCAATCGGCTGCATCGCTCAGACTATCCAGAGCTCTACGATGTGCGAATCGTGTGCGAGGATTCGAAGGTTCTGGAGGCCCATAAATGCATGCTGGTGTCACGCTTGGAGTACTTTGAAATGATGTTCACGCACTCGTGGGCCGAGCGCACCACAGTCAACATGGAGGGTGTGCCCGCTGAGTACATGGAGCCAGTCCTGGACTATCTATACAGCTTGGATACAGAGGCATTCTGCAAGCAGAACTATACGGAAACCTTTCTCTACAACATGGTCACGTTCTGCGATCAGTACTTCATTGAATCGCTGCAGAACGTTTGCGAATCGCTTATTCTAGACAAGATCAGCATACGGAAGTGCGGCGAGATGTTGGACTTTGCCGCGATGTACAACTGCAAGCTGCTGCACAAGGGATGCATGGATTTCATCTGCCACAACCTGGCCAGAGTTCTCTGCTACCGCAGCATCGAACAGTGCGATGAGGCGACTCTCAAATGCCTCAACGACCATTACCGTAAGATGTTCTCCAATGTCTTCGACTACCGCCAGATCACGCCCTTCTCGGAGGCCATAGAAGATGAGCTGTTGCTTAGTTTTGTCGTTGACTGCGATATTGACCTGGACTATCGAATGGACCCGGTTTGTGTGCCGTAAGCACCTGTTACTTTCCCTAATTATCTCTTTTCTTTTTCAGGAAACAAAGCTAAAGGCGGCAGCCAAGCATAAGCAGAAGGACTTGCGGAGGCAAGACGCCCGTCACTACTACGAACAGCAGGCCATATCCAGCATGATGCGATCGCTGAGCGTAAGTGAGTCTGCCTCTGGCCCCGAGGCGACTACCGGACCGCAGGAAAGCACTCGAAGCGAGGGCAAGAACTGGTCTCGTGTGGTGGACAAAAAGGAACAGAAACGAAAGCTAGCCGACACTGCCCTGAAAGTGAACAACACACTTAAGCTGGAAGAGCCACCGAGGCCAGAGCTAGAGGTCATTGAAAGAGCTATAATGAAGGAGCAAACGCCACCGCCAACCTCCCCTGCAGAAGAGACCAGTACGCCGCTGAGTAAGAGCTACAATCTGGATCTCAGCTCCCTGACACCCCAATCTCAGAAACTGTCGCAGAAGCAGCGGAAACGGCTGTCCTCCGAATCGAAGAGCTGGCGTTCGCCTCTGGTGGAGCAAGAACCCACCACTCCTGTGGCTGTGCCGAATGCCTGGGGCTTGCCACCCGCCACTCCGTCGAGTAGTTCCTTTAGCGACTCGCCAGCAACAGGCAGCATTTCGGACCCCACCTCTTTTGCCAATATGATGCGGGGCCAAGCGGCTGCCGCAACAACGCCTACGGAAAAGGGACAAAGTTTCTCGAGGATCCTCGCCGATGAGCGACGACAGCGGGAGTCCTTCGAAAGGATGCGGAACAAGTCACTGGCCCACACTCAGATCGAAGAGACAGCCATTGCCGAGTTGCGTGAATTTTACAACGTGGACAATACCGATGACGAGACAATAACCATTGAACGCAAGTCCAGACCCACAGACATCAACTTCAGTACTTGGTTGAAGCACTGAATGTGGTATATCACATATCACCCCTAAGGCTTCCGTATAGTCGGATATTTAGAGATCAGAATTAGTCGCCCAAAGAAAAGGAATGTTTTCTAATGTGGGATTTCTGGTGCCTCTACAACAACGGGGAGCTGCCGCATTTTAATTTGTATTTTATGAGAGTGTCCGTATTGTAATTTTAATTGTAACTGCTCTTGAAGATTGGTAAGAATGTGCCGTCAATCAAATGTAGAACTCGGAGCCACCTGGAAAGGGGCGCATAATGTACTGGCTGGAACTTGGATGCAATCAGAGGACGACACATCGAGTAACAAACTTTATTGTATGAGTATATAGATATACATACCTATATGTATGTGGATACAGATATTTACAAGCTGTGGGGGACACATTCAACAGATGAGACAACAACAACATATGACGAATAAATAGCCATCTAAGCTTCGCTAACCGAACCGTACCCGAAAATAAAACACGTTGCTTATGCAAATGAGATAGCAATGGAGGGACAGATTAATGGACACAATGGACAGAGAAAACCACAGAGACGGATATGGAGAGAGATAGAGGTGGGATGGCTTCTTCAGAAGCACTCCTTACGAAATGAGAACCCGTACTGATCGCACTTGTAGCGCAGCGTCTTGGCCAGCTGCGGGGGACCGCAGTAGAAGACAGTCACCTTGCCCTTTTGCTGTGCCTGCAGCTGCTTGAATACCTTGTCCCAGTTGGGGCGTCCTGCATTTGTGCGTGTCTTCAAACCCGTGATAAGATCCCGCTTGCCCTGATATAGAAAATAGGTGCATTTTAATGGATTGAATAGAAACTGATATGCTTTACGGATATTACCTTCTCGTGGAGCAGATCCAGGGCTAGCTGAAGACCCACCGCTTTCATGTCGGTCCTCTGCAGGGCACTTGTGATGTACATATGCATATCGAGGAAACTATGAAACGCAAACCTATCAGCAAATCTCTAGGAAAGAAAAATATTTCTGGGCCTACCGTTCCATGGCGCCGCCTAGCTCCGCCTGCTCAATCTCCAGCTGGGAGAGAAGATTCACAAACCACTCGAAGGATCGCTGATCGCGGTTGATCCAGAAGAAGTCCACCTTCCGCAGATTCATCACAGACTTGGGGATCTCACTAGCCCACTCAAACTGGCAGCGTGGACAGCTGTGCCGCGCCTTCCAGTAGCGGTGCATGATGGACTGCAAAATGGAGGCGAAGGGCGTGACACCGATCCCGGTGCCGATGAGCACCGCATGCTGGGCCCCAAAGATGTGGCTCGAGGGAGCACCGTACGGGCCGTCAATGAAGATCTAAGAGCGTATGGGAACACGGGGCGAAACAGAGAAGTTGGCAAATGAGATCGGGTTAGTCCCCAGGCCGAGTGGCTGAGTATGTGTGTATGTTGGTGTGACCCAAACCTCCATGACGCCCGCATCTAGTGTGACCTTGCTACCGCTGTTAGTTGTGGAGCTACCGCCTCCACCTCCACCTCCGCCGCCCCGGTTGGTTAGGGATGTGGACAAAGTGCGTAGGAATGTGGGACGCCGCAGAATGGACTTTCTGCTGCTCGTCCACGTTTGGTTGCTGTCCTTTTTGGTGGAGTGGATGATTGTTAGATTCAGGTGGCAGATCTGTTAGTTCTACGGTTCGCTACGGCAACATACCTCGAGTGGCTTGCACACGACATCCGCTGTCAGGCTGAGCCTGGTCATATGAAGCCTGTCGCTGGACTCCGCCTTGGCAAGCTGCCCCTGCTCCGCCCTGCTGGCCGGACTACCGCTGTTCTCCGGCGCAATCGTCAGCTGGGACTGCGACTCGTGCTCCTCCATGCTGGGCGTCTTGAAGGCGATGATGGTGGGCTTGTTGCGCATGTACCGGAAGCTCTGGGCCAGCGACTTGTTCTGCGGACTGAGATACGCCAGGCCAACGCTGTTGTTGCGGGCACGGCGTACCCGCTTGTCATCGAAAGTACGCTCCGACTCCGAACGGCCCAGGGCACGAAGACTTCGAAGGGAAAGATGGGGTTACTGATTATTCTGGCTGGATCTGGCGGGAGCGGATGTACTTACGCCTTGAGCCGGCTGCGCTTCTTGATCTTTACGCTGATGTCCGGCAGGGAAATGCTCTTTTCCAGCGGCCGCTGCTTGAAACCTCCTGGATCCTCGCGCTCACCGTCGCCGATGAAGGATCCGTTAACCACGCCCGGCGGACTGGGCTTACCCTTCGGCTCACCTGGCTCTTTCCTGGAGAAGGTTCGCTGCAGGGTTTTCTTGATGCTCCGGATACGATTCACGCCCGTGGTTGGTGCGGGATCCGGTGCTTGGGGACTGACGGCCACGAGCTTGCGATGCTGACGAGGAGGTCGCACTGGCGGCCTTGCCTGTCCCACCATGTTTCGGGCCAGGAAATCTGTTTGCGGAGTAGACGTGGTGGTGGCCATGTCTCCGTTCAGCGCGGGATTGCGTGCCTCGTTGAGGAGCATGAAGCTGGGCGTGGGAATGGCGTGCATGTGCTGGCCCACTTCGCTCTTGTGCAGCTTCTGCTGCTCGGCCTCGAAGTAGCGGTAGAGGCGGTTGGTCCACTCGCCCACAGTACGGATGTGCAGCCACATGTAGTCCTCCTGCTCGGGCGCGGAGCTGATGGTGAACGGGTGCCACTCGTAGTTGGCGATGGCGGGAATGTTCACGAACACATAGTCGCCGGGGCGGAAGTTGAAGTTGAACGGCCGCTTGATGACCAGATGGATTACTTTGGAAGGCAGTAGCAGGCCGGAGCTGATATAGGTTTTGCCGTGCTCGCCCCGCATCCACACGTAGCGCAGCACCCGCTCCACGATGTAGACGAGACCCGGCAGCAGGAACCACTTCCAGAAGTTGGGCCCGTGGAACAGGGTGAGTATCCAAAAGGGGACGTACAGCAGGTGCGTCCAGTAGAAGACCTCGAAGCTGCCCTTGCGCCGCACGAACGGCTGCGAGCACACGAACATCACCACGAGGATGGCCAGCAGGGCGACGCCCGTGGGATTGGCGCAGCCCGGAATCAGTCCAAACAGGCCCGGCCGATCCGTCAGTAGCCACTCCCCGATCGTGTAGTGCCCGGCGTTGATGTTGGGGTCGTTGATCACGATGATGGAGAAGTTGAACAGATGCATGATCGTGTGCACCAGGCTGAGAACCGATATTGTGATCCCCGTCAGTTTGTGCAGGTAGACATGGTGGTCCAGCGGCAGATACGAAGACAATCCCCGTCCCCTGAGATACGTGAGGGAGTGCCGCAGCATCAGCACCAGGACCCATGCACAGTTGAAGTTTAGGCATTGTCCTACAAGGAGTTTGAAGATGGGACGCTGAAGGTTGTAAGAATCGGAGGTTACAAGGGCCTACGACTACTCACCGCAGGCTCTGGCTATGATGACGAAGCCATTGCTGGCCCGGTACTGGATGGCACGTGAGATGAACAGGCAGAGATTTACGGCTATGTAGAAGAAGAGGTACGTGACAAAAACCTGGTTGTTCTTCATGTAGGCCAGCGTCAGCTGGTGAGGTATCGTGTTCCACAGCCTGCCAGTGCCCGCCGGACGATCCTCGGCCACGGGCACCAGCCAGCGATCGATCCTATAAGATGGGAATCATTCAATTTAGAGTCTCTTTTTCTTTTCTAGAGCTTACGTTATACTGAGGTTCTCCAGGAGACCACCGTGTTTGTTCAGCTGATTTTTGAGCGCCTCGTAAGTGATCTCGCCGCTGTTGTGGGGATCCGCATCCTCGAACATGGCGCTGGTGAGGTCTTCGATCTGATCTTCGGAGAACTCCATGCCATTCTCCTTGATGCAGTGACGTATCACATCGTGCAGCTCCTTGTGCTGAATGAGGCCATCGCCTGCGATGGATGGATATGGATTAACAGTGGATCTTCATCGGATCCCTACCATCGCTCAACTTACCATCTATGTCGTAGACCTTGAACAAGAAGCGTATCTTATCATCGGCCGACTGTCCCGAGAACTGATGTATGGCATCAATGAACTCCTGCAGCGAAATGGAGCCGGAGTTGTCCTTGTCAAAGATTTGAAAGACACGCTCCGTGAAGAAGGGCTATCCACACACGAGAAAGAGAGTTTAACCTCAAGGTAATTATGGAATATACCACTCAAAACCCACATTTTTGGAGGTGACAATCTTCTGGAACTCCTCGCGCCGAATCTCCTGCTCGTTGCCGACGGTGTTGCGGAACAGCTGCTCCAGGCGGGCTAGAGAGCTCTTGTCGAAGCCGGTCCGCGGCCGGGAGTTGGTCAGATGCGAAATAAACTCCATTACCTGATTGGTGGAAATGAGATTGGTCCCATCCATGTCTATCAGGCGATACAACTTGTCCAGTATCTAGGATTAGTGGTGGATTAGTGAATGTCGATGGATGTACACCTGCTGTCGGGGCTACTACTTACTCCGCGCGTATGCCAGATGTCGCGGAAGTTCTTGAAGCTCACTCTGCTGTTCTCCCCGCAGATCACATAGGCCACCGATTCGATCTGCTCGGCAAAGTCCATCTGACGGTCGTCGCTGTAACCAGAGTCCAGAGAGAGCGATCTCAGTATTACCATTAACGATACCCAATACCATGGCCCCCATCTCCCGATGGCCTGCTCCAGATCTCCTCTCCCGCTGTTGGGCTGCTCGCGCTATATTTGTATTTGAATGACTTCATTACGACAGGCAGCCAATGACAGTTTCTGGCGCAGTCTCAGTCTGGGTCTTGGTCTTGGTCTTAGTCCCAGCTCCATTCCCAGTCGCAGTCGCAGCTTTAGCTCTAGTCTTAGTCTCAGTCTCAGTCTCAGTGCCAGCTTTAGCTGTTGCTGTTGCTGTCGAGGCATGCGGACTATGTTAGCTGTTGTATATGTTAACATACAACACAGATAGCATCGCCATTGGCGATGCCATCGCACGGCAGACTACGTCTTTGGCCTGGCCGGCACTGAACTGGGGCCTCCACTACTGCTTTGGAGAAGTGTAGCGCTGGCATTTCAATTCGTGGCAAGAGGCATTTGCGGTGGCTTCTGGTTGGCGCAGCTGGAATGCCTGGAGCACGCCAGAAAGGTGCGTGTGTGTGGAGTCGAGTGGAGTGGACAGCCTGCATGGCTTACCATTTTTTACTCCTCGCCTTTTTGCTGGCAAGCGAGCTAATTGTTTTGGCACCGTCACAGCACCGATCCGCGGAAGGAGGCGGAGACAGAAAACAGGGCACAGGGAGATCTAACTGCGAGTAAAGCTAAAAACAAAAAAAAAACAAAACTTACGTTAAACGCCCCTTGATATGCTCGATCCAGCGGTCTTGTAGAAGATAACCATGCCGTTCGAGATCGAAGAGCTGGAAGAGCTTTTGCTGGAATTCCTGTAAGCAGATCCGAGAAACAAGTTGTAAAATAATGAATTTATGTGTCCAGTTTGCCAGTGAGTGCCCCCATCCCCATCCCTATCCCCATCCGCATCTCCATCCCCATGTGGATCTCCAGTTCGAGCCAAGTGTTAATTAATTTATGATCGTATTGTATTGTTTAAAGAAGCATTTGTTTATGGCCCGCACGTGAAGATTTATACGCGTTCCAGTGTTTACACTGGCATCGGATTGAGATCGAGAGAGAAAGATACTGCCATTTCCACTTGTATAGCATCGTAATGAGCATAATCCCAACTGTTCTCGGTTCATACGATCCCACGGCGCACTCAACTATGCGGCAGTGATGGTGATGAATGTTTTGCATAAATTATCCGCTTATTAATATTTTAATGACATTCGATCGCACGATCATGAGCGCCCAGCATTGTCTGCACATCGAAGATGGGATCGCCTAGAGCAGCCGGTTTGCATTTGGTCACCGATGATCGCCCCTCGAAGAGGAGTCCCAAAGATGATGATGAAAAATGTGCATATTTAACGGATGAGCACTGGGGGATCGCACCGCGGCGATGACTGGTTGGACAGCTTTCGGGGAGCCCATAAAACGAAATACAGACGAAACGAAACACAAAGCACGAAAGTAAACACAACACACAAAAAATGTAAGCCCATCGAGAGAGACACAAATCAAAAAACGAGTTTTCGATTCTGGCATCAGGTAAAGGACCACAACACGACGCGATGACCACAAATATGTGGCACAAGGTCAGACCCAGCAGAGAGCTGCAACTGCACAAGTACCCTGGTCCCATTGTCGCATCCAATTCCCATTCCCAGTGCTCCCATTTGCATGGCATCTCTCCCCGGTTGACGTAATTAAACCCGTTGATATACAACAATTAAGGCTGGTACATGGTGCAGCGGAAGGAGGGACAGACAGTCCCCAGGGATACGACGACTTACCTCGTCCAGAAAGAGCTTGCGGAAGGCTTCACGTGTGTGCCTTCCCTCGCCCTCGTCAAAGAGCGCACTGCACTCCGATATCAAGAGCCAGCGCTGCTTCTCCCGACGTGCCTCCAACTCCATGGAGCTGCAGTTTTTATCTAAATTGAGGTTGTATCGTTCCATGTACAAATTTGATTGCAACCGAGTCGTATTCTGATGTCGATTCTGAATCGGACTCCAGCTCTGATGCTGATGCTGATGCTGAATCTGATTCGAGTTCGTATTCGCCAGCGTCGCTTCCTGTTTGCCGACGCTGCTGCTGCCATCGTTGGCTATCAGAATGCTGGGAGAGGTGGCGAGCACTAAACCAACTGGGGCCGTCGCCGACGGTGGCGGCACAGCTCCATCCGTTGAGTCCAGGTCGAGTACGGCGGCGCTTGTGGTGCTATCGCCATCTGAATCCGCACTAGCGTGGACTTCCTCTACAGGATGATCGCGAGAACCGCCGTGTAATCTCTCCAGGTACTGGGCCGCCTGGTGCAGCACGTGACTGACTCCACTCGCCTGCAGCGGGACTGGCTGATGCGCCGGGGACTGCGACTCGAACTTTGGCACCGCTTCTGCTGCTGCCGCTGCCGCTGTCGTGGTGGGCAGCTCGTCAGAGAAGGAGACCTTCTTAGGGGAACGCGAGGGGGTGACGGGTATTTCCAGAGACCTGCTCGAGGACACCGAGCCCCTATGGTTCTCCGCTTGACTCTTGGAGTCGTTGTCGTTATCCATTCTAAAGGTTTATCACTGAATACACCACAGTTCGTTCACTTTTACCACATTCTAGATCCTGTCGATCAATACCAATCACTGAATCACGTTAATCTCGATTATCCTCGCGCTTCGGGGTCCGCAGTGATCGAAGTCTAACGGTTCGGTTCGATACGATTCGGTTCGGCACGACGGAGAGCCAATAAGCACTTTAATAATAAGTCCAATCGGACGCAGGGGCGAGCAGCAACTGAAAGCGAAAGCCCCAACGGCGCACGAATGAGGTGAGACGAGGGCCTCGGCCGTGTCGGGGCTGGGAATCGGATTGACTCGGGTTCTGGGGGCTGCTGCCTGGCTGCCTGGCTGCCGCTTGGCTCGGCTGAATGATCGCTTTTGAAAACGCGTTTCGGCTTACAACGTGCCGAATATCGGTTTAATATTTCAAATAATATTTCTGCCAGCGAGAGACCCAGAACCAGAACCAGCGAGCGATCGAGCGAGTTTTTTGGTTTAAGTTTTAGAATGGATTGGATGGATATGCTCGTATCGTACGTCTCGTACGCCATACAATGTATGGGGTATGAATCTGTATCTGTATCTTGAATCTGAATATCGAGTCGTAAAATGGCTGCCTATCGCTGAGCGGAGCTGTTGCTGTTGCTGCCACTGCCGCTGCTGCTGCTCCAATTGCCTTGTCCGTATCTGTGCGTCATTTGGTTGATATTCTAATTTGGTTTTTGCGCGACTCCCATACGAATCATTCGCCGCTTGTGTACTTATTCGATAAGGGGCGGGATGGGATGCCGATGCCCCTGCTCATACCCATGCCAGGCAGGTGCAAATAATTCTGTTGTAGTCACAGACGCTTCTTCCAGCGAATCGACGTCTTCAGTTTTTCATTATTAATTTCAATGCCCGTGTTGTGTAATAATCAAGCTTGTTTCCCCGCGAGTATGTGCCTGGAGCGGTGGAACGTGTCTATTTCCGAATTCCCGACCTGAATGCACACATCACATCAAATTACGGGCACTACCTGCGGGCTCTTTGTTACGGACTGCAATCGGCAAGGGCCAGAGTAATGGGTCAATGGTAATGGGCCAGACCAGGGCAGGAAGTGGGTACGCGAGCCACTCAACGTAGCACACTTCGGACCAATCAATCCAATCCCATCCCATCCAATCCAATCCAATCCGAACTCGAAGCCAAATCCACGGCTAAGCGTTAAACAGCTCTAAGCGGTCAATTCTCATCAAGGTTAGGCCAACACTTCCACCGACAGACACTTTCAATAATGTATTGTTTATCGAGTCATTGAACTCCACTCCCCCGTCCGTCCCTACAATCACCCATCACTCCATCCCGCCCGTAACGAGGCGATACTCTCGATTGCAGCGCCTTGAACGATTGATTGGTGAAGTGTGGTGTGGTGTGGTGTGATGGAGAACAGTGCGGTGCGGTGCGGTAAAGAGGAGGTGAAGCTGTGAAGTCTAGTTCGGCAAAGGGCAATTCTTTATGGAGCATAATTTTGACTCGTGTCTTGTCTCTACGTAACGTTTCGCATGCGATCTGATCTGCTGATTAATGTTCGAGCGCGGCCTTTGGCTTTGTTAACAGGTTACTGCCCGCGATTCATATCGTTTCCGTCTCCGTCTCCACCTCCGCTTCCTCCACTTCCTCCACATCTTCTCTAATCCCTCAGTGCACTCTCGCAGTGTATGTCTCTCGCATCCGCATGGCTCACCTGCGTGAGCAATTTTTATGGCCATTGTTAATTGCTGAAATTGGCATTCCCTGGCACAGCGGGCGACACTCTCCGCCGAGCCGATCAGTGGTGGCGGTGGCCAGCAGCAAGTCACATTGCCATGGCTCCCCCGGGGGCGGTCCAGGAATTGGTGTTTCATTGTGATGGCGCTGCAATTGACACCGCTGCGGCCAATTAAGAGTCCAACTTGGTATCAGAGTTGGAGTTGGAGTTGGAGTCGGAGTCGGAGTCCTCGACCGCCGGGTGGTCTGCAATCGTAACATATCCCCCATACCCCATGCTCCATCTGCGACGGCTGGCATGCAGATTGATTTGCTCGGCAAACGTTCGCTGCTTGTTGGCAATTTTCCAAATGGCCGGCGACGAGAGGCAGTGTCATCAATTTAAATTAAGTTCCAGCTTTTTATCGCCACTCGGCGAGACCAGACCACTCCGGGCCCCGGAGTGGCCCCCTTCTCCAGGCCCCTATCTACTCGTAGTCTCCTGCCCCGTCATCATTATCCAAAACATGTCATTAGGCGACCGCGAGCAGCGACCATCGAGAGGAGTACAGAATCCTGTTCTTGCAACTGCGTTGCTCTCTCTTTCTCTATCTCTCTCTGTCTCTGTCTCTGTTTCTGCCTGTGCTATCAACTGGAATTCCAGCAGCTCCGTGGCAGCGGCAGCGGCAGGGACAGCGGCAGCGGCAGCGACAGCGGCTGAGCGTTGCGTGCAGCGGAAATTGGCCAAAGAGACGGGGACGACCAATGCGACATCTACGCCGACGTCGACATCGATGTCGATGGCTTGGAGTCAGACTCTGCGCAGACGCAGACGCGTATACACCGTCGTCGCCTAATAAAGCAGCCGCGATCGCAACGCTAATTAAAATAATTGAAATTTCTCACGGGAAACGCGCAATCGCGACACTTGCAGGGCATCCTTTAGCTCAAAGACCATCATCCATTTCATTCTGATTCTGATTCTGATTCCGATTCTGATTCTCATCCTCCTCCTCCAGTGCTGGAGCCATATCCGTTGCAAGTGCGGCTAATTGCAAATTGCAACATGGACATGTCCAACAATCGAATTGACAGCTGCTTTAACCTTGGCACATTTGATGGACATTAACATGGATCATCGTTCGATGTTCGTTCTGTCCGCTTGCCTGCAGATGAGAACTCTCCATTCCGATTCCCATTCTCATTCCCATCTCCGCATAAATGCATAAATTTCATTAGCCGAAGACAGTTGTTGTTGGTAGTAGTTATTCTCTCTAGTGTTTGGCACTTAAATTAAATGTCAGCTTAGTTGGTTGGCTATTCCCAGCTTTGGCTCCCAGCTCTTGTTGTTGCAGTAGTACGAGTACTTAAAGAGTGCGACAGGAAATGGTAACCAAAAAAGAAGAAAAAAAACAGAACTGCACGATAAATAAACAGAAAATATTGTTGCAAGAGATCGTGGATCGTTGCATGCGCACTCTGATCGAGATCTCAGCGACAGATAGCGGACCCAAGTTACGATCATACATATGCATATAGACTCTGTCCGGCTTCGAGTCCAGATCCCCCTACCCCTTCCCCACCCTATCCCCTACGCAGGCCACGGGCTCCGCCTGGGCCGTAAAGTTGTCGAAAATGATTTGCAGATCAAGATTTGTGCGCACAATTTATGTGATAACCCACTAAGAGCAACCAAAATGGTAATACTCGCACTACAAAAAGGAAAAAAACACTCTTGAAAGAAATGCAATTGCTATGCGAGATCAGCCTGTCCTCTCCACCCAGTCCTCTGTTCCACCCAGTCCTCTGTTCCCCCCTCTATTCCCCACAGTTCCGGCCGGGTCCAATTAGTGCCTGGACTCGGACTCCGGCTCAGCATTTCAAATGCATGGACAATTGTTAGTGCCTCCATGTAGCGCTAATAATGACGCCTTTAAATGTGCAATAACAATTTTTGAGACGCGCAAAAAGTGCACTCTTTCTATATATACATATATACTATATTCGTACATCTATAGATATGCCTATAGCTATATCTGTCTGCCTGATGTGTCTCTGTGTGAATGAGTGAGTGCGTTTAAGTACCGCCCATAGGCTGGCAAACCAGCTACTGATGTCTGCTGCCTGCTCGCTGCTCCACCTCCAGCTTTTTCTCGCACTCCTGCTGATCTGCAAAAAGCTGCTCATGAGCTACGTGAGTTTTTTACTGATCGCCAACAGCCAGGCAACAAGGCAGAAGATTGACTTTGATCTATGGAGCAGGCGGAGCAGGCAGATATCGCTTAACCAGACTGAAAAGCCATCCCATGGTTGCAGATTAAATGTTTAATCTATATTACGTATACGCACAGATACACCACCAAAATTGAATGGCTTGGGGGGAAACACTGCAAAAGGTTAAGTAAATAAATAGTTCGATAATTGAAACAGTGAGAGAAGGGGCTATGGAACTGCTGAAAGAAATCCACTTAATTTATGCGAGAACGGTCGTGCTGAAAGATTTCTCCCACTCAAATACAATTCATATACCAACCTTATCTGGTGTGGGATCAATTCTTCAGGAAGTGTTAACTCCTCTTTTAGCTGGTATTGGAATAGATAGTTCCACTATTTATCTTAAAGGTCCCCTTATTTCATGCCCGCTTTTTCTTTCCCCCAACTTCCACGCAGTTTATCCTTGAGTTTAACCAAAGACAAATCCAAATCTCTTGGTCGCAATCATTAATCAATATAATGCACTCGGCGTGGCTGATTAAAATTGGGCGCATGTCGCTCTACTCAGGCCAAATTAAGCCCTTGGGAGTGGCCTTAGCCGCAGCCTCCCAATTGAAATGCCAGATCATGTTTGGGGACTGGGACTGGGACAGAGCTGCAACAGGGGCTGGGACTGGGGTTGGGGCTGCGGTTGAGGCTGAGGCCTCGAGACCGCCTGGGCGACAGCTGAACAAAGTGTGTGTCAGTTGCAGTCAAGTGGAGCCATAAAGCTCCAAGAGATCGACGGTGGCGATGGCGATGCCTGTGTCAGCTACTGCGATCAGTCACGGGGCAACGGCAATTGGACTTGGTTGTGGATGTGGATATGTGGATATGGACGGGTGGGCGGATTTATGGCCTGCCCAGCGTCAGTTTAATGAGTTGCCTGCATCCATAATACCGGCCCAAAAGGAGTTAAGGGGCAGCCACAGCAACCACAAGCAAATAAAAAAACCCCCATACGTACATATATTCGTAAAAAAAGAAAAAAAAGTCAATGGATTAGATTAGACGGCGCAGCTGTCGTGACAGGTTGAGCTGCGTTTGGGAAACGGGCACGAAATCGAAGCGGGCGAATGAGAATTTATGGCCAATGCCAAGCGAGCTGCAGCGAAGCTCAATCTCAGCCAGAGTCAGAGCCTGGGACTGGGATTGGGACTGTGACTGTGGCTGGGATCTGGTGCGTGCATGGGACGCAATATTTTATAATGACTTCATTACAA